AGCATGAATGCCCCCACATCCCCCTAGTTGGTGACCCCCCAGCCCAGACACCCAATATCGTGTTTAAAATCTGCTAAAGCAGCATTTAAGCAACTGTGAAAAGCCCCCATTAAGCTCCAGGCCTCATTTCACCACCAAGGGGAAGGGCATCAGCAGTATTTAATTGCAGGGGAACTAAAGAGAGACAGGACACGGGAAGTGCCACACCACACATCACCACCCCCTGGGCTGCTCCCCCCCAGCACCACCAGCTCCTTGTGGGAGCAACCCTTACCCATCACACCCAGACCTTTGCAAGCCACGCACTGGTGCCGTGCTGGCATCTGAAATCCAGGCAGCTGGAGGGAAAAACAAAAGCAAGACCAAGCAGCTTTTCAAACCTCCCTTCCCAGCAGCGTGCACTGTCACACAGTACTTCCAAACCCGTGGTTTATGTGGCTCAGGAGGGTAGTTTCATGCCCTAACTCCTGCATGATGGATTTTACAATTTGTTAAAGAAACTCATCAATCCTCAGCAGTCATTTTTAATGCCCAGAGCCTCCACAACTTCTGCGTTTTGCTGATCCCCCAATTTCAAATCGTTTGAAATGGCTGTTCCTATTACCGCTGTGCTCCTAAAGCTAAGCATTATGGCACACTTCAGACTCCCAGCCTCATGCACTACCATAGTAAACAGATTAACTGTGATTTATGAACAGTAAGTTCTGGTTATTTGAAAGGAAACATTACCTCCATAGACCAATACTGACAACTGGAGATTTCCCATTATGCAGCTCTTCCTACCTACCTGTAATCATTAGTTTATAACGCTGGTATCAGCCTGGGAAACATATCATCATCATTTGCCACAAGAAACTTTGGGCTTCCAAAGCATCTGGCAGGAATCACAGGAACTACTGCCAAAGGCAGAAAACTGGCCTGAGACGACCCAGCCAGACAATTGCTATTTTACATACACTGTAATGAAAATAAAAACATATATATTTTTAAAAGCACAATAAAGCAAGAAGTTTCCAAAGAGAAGAAACGTTACTGCAGAGATGCAAAGAGGGATGCATCGGGGTATCAGTGAGCAAAGAACTAAATAGGAATTATCAGATGGTACTGAGGTCTGTTTGTGACCCTTATTCACTTGTAAAGTCCAATAATAATTTTAATATTCTCTCCCAAAAATGAATCCATTCTGAGTCCCCTCTAGAACATCAGAGGAACATTTTACAGGCCCACAAGCAAGAGCCAGCATTACACAGCTCACCTCAAGCCACCGAGCTGACCCACCACACGTGTCACACGGGTCTACCACTGAGAATCTTTTTACATTGATTCCATTTACCATCACCCCTTTTCTCCTGCACTAGAGAAGCAGCACACAAGGCCTGGCCAATGGCACAAACCTACTTCACAAAAATCACAGGATCAACCATTCACCTACCACCAATTAGTGAATCCATGTCCCCCAGTATCACATCTACATGCTTCTTCTCAGAAGGACATCAGATCCCATGCACACACCATGACTGCAGCATGCTTGGACCATTCTGTCCCCATTGCAGACCCTCCCTGTGCAGGGCTGGTTCAGCTCCAGGAATTCCCCGTTCCCACCACCCCTCTGCTGCTTATACATTCAGAAGTTGATAATTCATCAGGATAGAGGCTTGTTCCCCTAGCTTGTTCCCCCTCCCTATTTATCATGATGCTAAAAGCCCATTCAAGGCTCTCCCTACAGCCAACACCTCAAAGACTGTTAGATTTTATAGGTTTAAAACACATATTAAACTATTCAGGGTAGGTTCAGGTTGGATATTAGGAAAAAAAAACTTCTCAGAAAGGGTGGTGCTGCACTGGCACAGCTGCCTAGGGGTCACCATCCCTGGAGTGCTCCAGAGCTGGCGGGATGCAGCACTGAGGGATGTGGGGATGGGTTGGGGCTGGTGATCTTAGCAGTCTTTTCCAATCTTAACAATTCTATGGTTCTATTGTACGTGCTCAGGGGCACTGCTAGCAGAGAACCCTTCTTCACAATCAGCGTGCAATACCTTCCACCACACACCTAATCGATGCTGCACGCATTCTGGATTTACACACACAAGGCATAATTAGTAAAGATAAAAAGGTTTTCTTATATACTTATACCTCTTTAAGAGAAGAAAAGAAACCTCAGTTCCTCACCTTGACTCTAAAGTAGTAACAGCAGCTCGTGAAAAATGAAAAGCCTTGAAGGATTCAGAATAAGAAACTTGGAGAGACAATCGCTGATCTTTTATCTTCCAGACTTCAAGCAGAATCAAGTTCTTCAAAGAAAACTCAATAAAGCCCAGACATTTTCATCATAACAAAATAAATAATTCAGTCATGCGTTCGAGGACTCCAACATTAGGATTGGCTATTTGATATATTTGTGGCTTAGGTGCCTCTAAACTGATTAAAGATAACCTGATAGAAGCTTGCAACGTCAAAACCGCCTTCGTTCCTGACAGATATGAATGGATAGCGTAAATAACTATAAATAACCAGAATGGCTGCATTTATGCCTAACGGAGGATTTACAGCCTGCAGAGCTGTCTGGTAGGACCAAGAATTACAGCTCTGCCTTTCTCTTCCTGCAGAACGAGAAGGGAGAGGAGCTGAAGTCCTCCTCGCGCCACTGCTCTGTCAGGACAACTGAGAATCCATGAATAAGAGACAACCACGGAGATGCCAGAAGGTTTGGCCACATTGACTTCCCAGGAACTGCTCTGAGACAAGCATCCCAAAAGCTCCTGCAATATCTGTACCCCCTGCAAGCTCCCACTGGGTTCCCAAGGGAGCTGTCACACTTGCTGGATGGGGACATCACCATTAGTCCTACACACTGCAGTGGGTGCAGATGTCCTATTCCCTGGGAGGTCCTTCTGTGCTCAACAGTGCCACACTCTTTACCTTCTTTAAAAGAGTACTTTTCTCCATGGAGGAAGAACCAGGAGGAACGCATCATGAAAGTTGCACTGCACAGCTGCTACAGCTTTCACTTTGCTACCCACAGCATAACAGATTCTCACCCTGCATGCTGACAACAAGTGAGCTCTTCCTCCTGAACCTGGGAAGCAGACAACAGAGGAACATGCACACAGCCCACTGCTCCCCACTTGTGGGCAGAGCTCCTGAGTGTGCGTGGGGAGGAAGAGAGCAAGAACAAAACTCATTTTGTTTTGTGTTTTCCTTACGCAAAACCAGAATAGTCACAGATACAGACTGAATAGTTAGAAAATTAGTGGTGTTTGTTGAGGGCTTTTTTGTCATTTTAATAGAAAAAAATGCAGAGTGGGAGTGGACCCAAGTAAAAAGCCAGGATCTAAAGTCAAGAGAAAGAACTGGGAGTGACGACAGGACAGAAATGGCTCTTGCTGCTTGCAAGCGAGTTGCACTGATTCACTACTTAGTTGGGATGAGAAGCCCGGAGCAACATTAAATGTCACTTCAGGAAGACAAGAGAGAAAGTTTGGGACTGCAGGAGCTCAGCTGGAGCTGCCAAGGGCTGAGAATCTGAGCCGTGAGGTGTGCATGGGCAGATAGCAGCATGGTTACACTGCACAGCAGCGAAGGGAAACTGCCTGCAGAGACATCTGGAGTGAGATTTAACTGCGGTGGAGGCAGCTACAATCAATTGTAACACTGTCAAACTCAGCAAGTTTCCAAAGGATTAAATCATTACTTAAATCATCTTCATAACTCAAAGAAGTGCCTCTAAGATGAAGGCAGGCACTAATCGTACCATTTACATTTTGTGAAGGAAAGGGTTCTTTGTTGGGATCTTTCCTTCTAACTGCAATAACGAGAAAGCCCAAGGGCCTAAAACTAATAATCTAATAATCTTTGCTAAGTGAACACTGTAACAGATAGGCCTGGATGAGGTCTTCAGTAAATGCCAGGCAATTTCCCTTGATCTTTATCAGTGGAGATGTAGCTCTGGCTTCAGCAAGAAGAAATTAAATTTAGTGCAAAATAATAACATCTGGGTGAGATTTTGCTTGTCAGACCAGCGGTCCCCTTGGATGCCGGGCTGAAAATATTTAAATGAACTCTGACAGGTTTTATGTTTGTGTTTAATAGGAGCGGTTGGGATACGTTTCCATACCAACACATCACCCCGCTCCTGACAGCGGTGCAATTACTCATCCCCAGAGCAGGAGGATCCCCACAGGGAAGCTGAGAGAACTCTCCCTGCTGAGGGCTGGCACTGCTCTGAGCCCCACTGTTCTCACAGCCTCAGATCCTGCAGCCCACAGCAGAGACCTGCCCCATACCATGAGCAGTGCCAACAAGCTTAGCATCCAACTGCCACCTCTTGAGGTCAGACCATTCCTAAGGCTCTGGCACAGCTGTCAGAACACAAACAAGCAGCAAATCACCCACTTTTAGCAGGAATTCTGCAATTAAATTGTCTTTCCCACTTCCACCGAGAAGAATGGCGATGCAGCCATACAAGGCTTTTCAGAACAGTCCCTGCACAGGGAAGGGGCTACCATGGCCAGGATGGAAATCACTGTAAAAATAATAATAAAACTCAGAGCAGAAGAGTCAGCCCTCTCAAGAAGCAGCAGTGTGACCTGTATAACAGAGGGTGCCACTCCTCCTTGCTTTGCCATGACCCCACAGACTTCAGAAGGCTTTGGATCTTGCTGTTTGTGAGGCATGAACAAAAAAGTCTGATTACTATACAAAAGTATTGGGAAGGAGGAAATGCTTCATTGCTCGTGACTTTTTTGGCTTAAATACACGCAAAAATGCTGTTAATGTAGAAGAATGGAACCCCCATAGGAGAGCACTCAACAAAAAAGCAAACATTTCACTGCACATTAACCACAAATAGAGTAAGTTTTGCTTGCATAAAGGCCCTTAAATAATTACTGCAGATCTCGGTATTGCAAACTAGAATGCATCTAGAATAGAACATATCTGTCAGAGGTCAGTTCTGCCTCAAAGACAATACAATACATCACCCAGAACACCCCAGTGCTCACCTTGGAAGACAGCAGCGTTCTGGATGACGAGGAACTTCAGCTCCATGCTGGCAGACTGCAGGAGCTGCTCCATGTTCTGCCGGGCCACCACCTGGTACTTCTCCTCCATCTTCCTCGAGCAGCACGTGGAGCCCTTGGGGATGCATACCTGCAGGTCCAACCCTGCAGACAGACAAGGGCAGGGAACTCGTGTTAGGAGGTGGGATTGCTGCAAGCAGAAAGGAAACCAACTGCATGCATTTGAATTGCTGCAGTTATTGTTTGATGGTGTTTCTGGAATTTGTCCTGAGCAAGCAGCTTAGCCAAAGGAGAAGAGTGATAAGGACTGCTGAGCAATAGCCCTGAGAGCTTGCTGTCCTCACATGCCAACACAGTGATTGCTGCAGCTCCCGTGCACTGCATCCCTAGGAGCGTGGTGCTGAGCGGCACACAGCAGTGCCCTGCTGCCTCCCGAGTGCTGAGAGAGCTTCAGGAAGGGGCAGAAATGGAGGGGTAGGTGGACAAAAGAGCCAGGGCTTGAAGCTGTGGGTTTACAACGAATAGAGCAACACATGGGCTGTGCTCATCATTTGCATAGATTTAAACAACTAGCTTAAGGCAACAGTTACTTGTCTGTAACCTCCATCCTTTTGCATCCACAGCAACAGCAGCAACAATAGGAAACCAAAAGAATCATTTGTTTTGTTGTGTTGTTTTTTTTAATGCAAACTTCTGAGCCATACACTCCTCCTGAGACCTCTCAGCCATTTCCCCACCCAATCCTTTCTCCATGGCAAAAGGCAAAGCCATGGCTCATTGCTTCACTCGCACCTATCCCACTGCACAGGGACAGCCCCTATGGCACACTGAGTGCTGCCAAAGGCTGATGTGCAACCACATGCCATGGGAACACCAGCACTGAACAAAACACAGCAGCAGAGGGAACATGGCTTGCTCCAGCACTCCAGCCTGCACTCAAAGCACTGGGCAGCGATGCACCATGCATGGTTTGGAATTCTCAAAAGCCTGGAGGTGGGAGGCAACGTCTGTTTATATTTTAGAAAACATCATCAATACAATCCAGAGGAAAGAAAATCATTTGTTGTTCAGACAACAGGAGGAGGTAGAGCCAATGAGCTGGAAGCAGCAGTAATAAGAAGCCCCATTCTCAATCAATTTTCAGTAGCAGACACAAATAGGATAACAAGCTCGTATCAGAGAAAAATAAAAGCCCTCGGCACGCAAAACCAATTCAATGCAACTATTAGAAACTCCAACAGCAAGCAACACCTCCATGCAAACACCACCAAGGCACAGCTACCTGGGGCCAGATGGCAGCAGGATGCTTTCACATCTCAGCCACTGCCATCCCAATCGCAGCACTGCAGGCATGCCAGAGCTCCCCACGAGGCTCACACTGCCCAAAAACAGCATTAGGTGTCTGTCCTATGTGACAGACAGCCCAGGTAGGGCTGAGTGCCCCCAGAGCCCCTCAGCTCTCACCGTCCTCCCCTTCACTAGAGATTTGCCTTACTAAAAGGAGCTGAGCAAGTTGGGTAATTTTCATCTTTGCTCCATGAGGATTATGCATCCTTCCAGGCTTCTTTCTCCTTCCTTAAGTCTTTTACCACATTCTCTCTGACTAATTACTAGAAAGTGTCAAAAGTCACTTTTCCGGTGTACTTCAGAAGAAGAGGATTAATATTAATGTCAGTTCAATCGTGTACCTGCTGAAGAAGAGTCATGCATAGTGTCAGGAGAAGCAGCAGCTGTCAGGGCTGGCAGCAGAACCCCATCCTTCCCCATAGCACAGCCTTTTGGGGAGGAGGAGAAAAAGACACAAAACTCTTTGTCTGCAACGTGGAGAGGAGCTTATACCAATCCTGCAGCAAAGCAGTGCGTAGTAAAGGAGCAGAGGGGCTCTGGACCCACACTGGGAGGCACAACACCATCCTGACCACAGCCTCAGTTTCCCCTTCTGCAGAACGGGGCACACAGCACAGATTTCATGGTAGAGCTTTAGGAAAGAGCCAGCCCCACTGGCAGCCAAAGAGTGAAACTCAGCAGTTGGGGGGTGACAGGCATTTCCCACGTTGGACAAATAAGAACCCATCAAATCACTTTGCAGCAAGGCTCTGCCTTAATGAAAGAAGTGGTTATAGAACAGTGAGTTAAAGAGGTATTTGAGTCCATTTACACCGCAAAAAGACTTTGCGTGGTCCCTTTAATACTACAATAAGGCCATGAATTTCTTGTTAATACAAGGCTTATTTCCTCCTACATTTATTATATTAGGACATGCTTCAAATTAAAAGAAAAAGCTTTCTATGATTAATGGAAATACCAATATAGGAAATCAGAGAGTTGGCAATTAAGAGATCTGTGCAAGCGAGAGCCGGGGATGGGAAGCACCAAGGTCACCGCTCACCTCCCATCCTTCTTGTTGGCAATTAAGCCAATTTCGCCCCTTAAATGGATTTTTATTTTTGTGAAGTAAGTAAAAAGACAGACACGCAGCAGCAGGGCAATCGTGGAGGAGGAGGAGAGAGCCTGGGAATTAACTCTGACAGCTTAAAACGCTTTTACAGAGACAGGCAACTGACACCAGTGAGCAGAAGCATCTCAGTGACCACAGCAGGTCAGGGCAGGCAGGATGGGTCCCTATCAGCTATAAGGGACAGCCTGCTGGGATGCAGGCTGCACAGACCCCATGGCACAGTGCCCACGGGCCCGTGAGCCACCAAATTCAGCCCCTGCCTTGCAGCCCACCCCTCCAGTGCTGCATCCAACCCAAACACCTCTGTGATGGCTGTGCCGTAGGATAGCGGAGCCCATTCCGCTGCTTAATGGCCCTTGCCCTCAAGATTGCTTTTATCTCCCAACCTACACACACCCCTTTTTCTTAAAGTTTCAAGCCATTACACCTCCTAATACCGCTGTCAGCCCTTGCAAATGACCTCTTCCATTTGCTATAGATCATTACAGTTTCATTTTTGGAAAGAAAAGACCCCACACATAACTCCAACAGGTTTTATCCCCTGTGCCCCATGCCAGACCTGGGCCATTTATGCCATCTTGGGGAGCAGCAGTGTAAATGCTCCGCTGATTCTGGAAGCACTCTTGGCTGACAGAATCAATTTCAGGAGTACCCTGACTCTTCCTCCTCCTTCCAAACACAGGAGATTTGTACCGGGGTGAATTTAAAGCATTACATTTGACTTTGATGTACAATTATTCCCGCAGATAGGTGGTTAGCAGAGCAGCAGTAGAAATCATTTCAGCAGATTAAATGTCAGGAAAAAAAAAAAAAAAAAAAAAAGAAGAAAAAAAAAAAAAGCCCAGTGATGATCTGCAGGCAGCTGTGAATGTCTTAGGGATGCTGAAGGAGTCCAAGCAGATTTTCAGTGCATTTCAGACAGCTCCAGCCCTGCCACCAGGTAGAGCCAAGCCGTGTGCTTCCCTGCCAGATCCAACAGCTTGCATCAGGTTAACATTCCCCCCAGTACTGCCAAAACAAGAACCAGTCCCTGGTGAACGCCAGGTCCCTGGTGAATGCCCCACTCTGTGCTGGGAGCATTGGGGCTGCCCCATAACACACTCATACAAACGTTGATGCCTTCTGTTTTTAACTGACACGACCAATCAAGCACCTGTCACCTGTTTTTAATGCCCAGCATTGGGGAGAAAAAGAGATGTGGCTGCTCAGAACCCAATTAAAGAGAGACAAATTATAAGCCAACCCCATTCGATAGGTGATCACAGTTGGAACAGCATGGGTACAACAGGGAGATGTTTATTTGTGCTTAATTGTTCTGCTCCATCTTCCACAAGGCCTGTGAAATGGGCTCTTCCTGAAGTCTTGTGGACGGCCAGATGAGCTCCACACCAGTGTAACCACTCCACAGCATCACTTCTTTTAAAATGAGAGGTTATGGAGAGAACAGAGAGGTGATGCCATGCGAGAGCTTCCTCCCTCTGGAAGGAAAATGCAGCAAGCATGTCACCATCAACAATATGGAATTAATTCATGGGTACCATACACATTTGTAACAGTCATATGCACAAGCCCTACAGTCATCCCAAAGACATTCTATTCAGGATGTTGTTAAAATTAACCCTTGGAAAAAAAAAAAAAAATTAATGATCTCACTATAAAAGCACTGCCTGAGGAGTTTACTAAATTTTAGGGTTCTGCTCCTGCTCTTAACTATCAAGAGAGCAACTTGCAGGCCTGAAATAATTAAGAACAGAAAACTCAATTATCTGGTAAGCTAAGATGTTAAAGCTGTATGGGAAGGCTGCATGGGGAGGGGACCATTAGTTCCAATCAGGAGGAGTGGAATGAAAGCAGGGGGGGCACAACGGGAGCCCTGCATCTAAAGGGAACCATTGGGATCTGTGCTCCTTAAGCTGGGCCCTGGCACACAGCAGCTTCCAGAGTTAGGAAGAGGAAAAAGAGAAGAGAGCCCGACTTTGGGTCAGCCCATGGTACAGCATCACATCCCAATGCAGAAGCAAAAGGTTCGTCACCTCTATTTTCACAGGGGGGATCTACACTTGATTCCTTTAAAGAGAACAGCCAAAAAGCAGGGAACTGAACTGCACCCTGGGAGGAGGAAACAAGCCCACCCACAGGCATTTCTGCTGAGACACATTCCTGGTGGCAGCCCCAGCTATTCCACGCAGGGCAATCACCAGCCCAGACCCCAAAGCCAAGGGACTACTGGGAGGGAGACCAAAAAACATCAGCTTTGGAGCAGGGACACACAGCACGCACAGAAAGTTACCCAGCCACGGGCTGAGGGAGCCCACGGGCAGCAGCTCCACAGCCAGAGCATCACCGGGAATGCAGAGCAATGCAAATGGCCAAGAGGAGAGCACAGCCCTGAGCTGCAGAACCCAGGCCAGCAGCTGCAGAGCCGGAGCAGAGCTCGCTGCCTTCAGCTGGAATTATTCCCACTGCATTGGTACCAGTCGTGAAACAGCACGACACTTCCCTTGCATTTATCAGAGGTGCTCAGGTTTTTCGTTGTTTGGGGTTTTTTTTATTATGTTTTATTATTTTAATTAGAAGCATCGAGCTGGCAGGACCGGGCTGCCCAATGGGAGTGCTGTGCCGACATCCCTCACCCACACACACTGATCCTATAACACATCCCAATGGCATTTCTCCTGTCTGCACTGCAACTCTGCAACATTTCCTCTGCTCCCACCTCAGCTGCTCACAACGCAAGACAGGGCTCCTCGAAGTCATGATTTTCCTGACATATCAAAAAACTAAACCAAACCCACATTTTAAATACACTGTATAAACCCTCAGTCATCTGCGGGCAAAGGATCTCAGAACTGATTCCACAGTGATTTGCAAGTGGGAACTCCAAAACTTCTTTTTTAATTGACAGATGTACGAAAGGAATAAAGCAATAAACAGAAGCCTGGAAATAGTGCTTGAGTGATGTTCCCCCATTACTGAGATTGATGCAGCTGCTTGCAGGAGAAGCGAGCGCTCTGAAGTGTAATTACTGCACAGACTCGTACAAGATGGGCCAGACCCAAGGTATCAGCGAGCAGTCATTGCTTTAATTATGATCAAGTTTATGTACTTCAGCAAATGTAAAACCCGCTTTCACTTTGATACGGGGGAAGTTTATCACTGCAACAAGCTGGCAGCACTCTGGAAGCAGGCACGGCCACACTGCCCAGGGCTGTGAAGATGGATGTGGACTCCTTGCTCCCCAAAAACCTGACCGGCAGCGAAGCTCCCTGGGAGCACCGCAGCATTCCAGAAGCCGGACCCCACCCCGCACATTCCCCGTAAAAACGAGCTCTGAGATTACCCGGGAATCAAAGCAGACATTCCACAGCAGCAGGGGAAAATATTTGATTACAGACAGCAGAACGCAGCGTTTTAATGGTGATAAGGGCAGCTCCCTCCCCGCAGCCCTCCATGCAAACACCTCGCCCCGAGCTGTTCCCAGCGCTCCTCTCTCCCTGCTACCAGGGACCGAGGGATGTTGATTTAGGACCGTTGGGGAAAGAGACCGGAACCGTAAGAAGGGGCTTTAAGAACAGGAACGGGCGAAGGGAAGCTCTCATTTCTCAGCACTGGCAGCATTTCTACAGCCACAAGCATTGCGGATGGGCGCTCGCAAACACAGCGGGCTCAATGCCACCCCGTCCCTCCGCTTCTCCCGTTCCCGTGCGCCGCAGCGGAACCGCTCAGTGTGCCGGCGGTGCGGCACCGCTCACGGAGCATCCCTCAGGGCTCTGGGAGCAGCTCCTTCCCGCAGCTCCGCGCCCGTCTGTCTGCCTCTGCTCTCCTCTCCCCCCGCTTTCACGTCGCCCCAAGCCGGGCAGGGCAGCACCGCAACACCGCGGCACCGGGCAGCTGCGCGCGGAGCTCCCTCAGCCCGCCCATCTCCGCACACCTGGGGAAGCGACGCTTTCCAGTCCCCAAAAAGCTGAGAAAAGCTCGTTGAAGGCAGGGAGCTCCGTTCTCCCACCGATGCTTTCAAACAGGAGCAGAGCCGCTGCCCTCGACAGGACCGCAACGCTCCCACGGCCGCCCCCGAACTTCTCGCTGCGGAGCGACCGAACCACGCGCGCGGTGCCCACGGCGCACCTCGGGAGCCGAAACCCGACGGCGTTACCCGGTTTCCCACCCGCCCACCGCGCGGCTGTCGCGGAAACACCAGGCTGCCTCACCTGGCACGGGGCTCTCGGGCACCCACTTGGCTCCGGGTTGCAGCACCTGGAAAGCGGCTCTGACCGGGCGGCAGGCGGCCTCCCCCGCCGGTTGGGCAAAGCCCGGGGCCGCCAGGAGCAACAGAAACAGCGCCAACGGCGGCGACGCACCGCCGCTCCCCGACATCCTCCCGGGGCGCCCAGGCGCTGCCCTACGCGCCGCCGCCCGGCAGCGGGGCAGCGCGGACCGGAGCCCGGCCCCGAGCACCGGGAGCGGCCCCGCCGCGCTCCCATTGGTCCCCTCCGAACCGCGCCCCGCGCTGATTGGCTCCCGCCCCGTACCGGCAAAACTTCCCCCGCGCGCGGCACCGCCCCGGAGCCCATTGGCTCTTTGCACGGAGCGCTCCCACCTGCGCGACCCGGCCCGGTGTGCAGCCGGTTGTGCTGCGGTGCGGAGCGACCAGGAGGGGATGAAAAAAAACCTCCTCTGTCCGATTCCAGGTGTAAAAAGCAGGCTCAGATGAGCAGCGATAACGCGCTGGCAGCTCTGTTTCACTCGGAGTTTTTGAAGAGGGATGAAAAACGCCGAGATTTGCTGTGTGCTTGTTGGAAAGGAGCCTTGTTCGAGCGCCGTATGGAGATGAGGCGAAGGAGCTGCGATGCGCGGTGTGCATCGGTGCTTAAGGGCTGTCTGCCAGCACGCTGTGCTGTTTGGTACGGGTTGGATGTGCTTCAGCAGCGTGGCTGGCAATGTTCCCATTAGCAAAACATCCCGATCTACGGGAACTTGGAGGAACCCAAAAATGCCTCTGTGCTCCCCGCTGCCCCACCCCAGCAGAGCAGAGCACGCCGTGACCCATCCTGTCGCTGCTCGCATCACTCTGTGTTCCTTAAATGACACACGGCCACACGAGCTGCGTGGCTCTGCGAGTTGCTGCACCAGTTTGCAGCTCCCTGATGGATTTGCAATGTTTCTGCAACAATTTGGGTTTCTGGTATAGTGTTGCTTTAGGAATCAATGAGACTGAAATGCAAAACACAGAGGCCAGCATTTGAAGCCCCCCCTATCTCCTCACTGTTGCAATCTATATTATGTTTATGGTCCAACTAACAGTTGTCTAAAAAGCACTCGAGCGTATCTTGCATTCATCTCCAAAGCTGCTGTGCATATTTCATTGCAGCATGGCAGCTTTTGCTGCTCCAGGTAGCACACAGATATTGTCAGGCATGCCATTAGCACAGAGAATTGTGTGCGGTGCCAAACAGGCGGCATTCAGGGATCTGTTCAGACCGTGGAGTGCTTGAGGATTTTGAGCCAAATTAGAGAACAGCATTACTACTCTTTCCTGGATCTGGCTTCACAGAGGGGCACGTCATTATCTTGACAACGTTATCCTGCAAAAATAATGTTTTCTTATGGCAGAAGGGAGTTGAAGCCATGGAAGCGCAGCAGAAAGCTGTGGCAGCCTCTTCTGGCAGCTGCTGGTTGGGTCATATCAAAAACCAAAGGCAGCAAATTTCAAATTTGAACTAAAGTGGAGTAAGAGATTTTCACTCATTGCCCCCAATTCTCCCTCTGCCATTAGTGACAACCCTTGGAGCAATTCACCCAAGCATGCAGCTGCATGGAGACAGGGAGTGAAGCTCGCCCCATCCATAACCCCAAAATGCCATCGTGTTCTGCACCCCTGAGTCCAAGGCACTGCGAGAGTCCAGGGAGATCAGAGCTCCCTGCACACCCGTGGGATCCATCCTTCCAACCCCGGGGGTTTGCCCTGGAGCTGAGCAATGCGCTTTGCTCCAAGAGCAGAGCAAAGTCACCGGGTGGGTTCGCTGCCAGCAGGTGCAGCAGGAGCCAAGCCGTTGTCTCACATCCAGGAGGATAATTTCCCTTGTTACAACTGCTCACACAGTAAAAATGTCACTTAATCATCCACCTGCCTTGAGCCTGGAAGTAATGAGCGGCAGCATCATCTGCAGCTGATTTTATCAAACGCCCGTACAGAGCGCTCCGCTGGGAAAACACTGAATCAATTAAAACGCCAAGGAGAGACGTAGGAGAGGATCTGCACTCCCCAGCAGACACTCACTGGGTATTGATGTGGTTCCTGCACTCCCCCTGGCCCAGCTGCGTTGCTGGAGGTGCCACCTGCCCTGTTGGAAATGAGGGCTGCAGGCACGGGTGGCTCAACCTGCCCAAGTGGCCCTTGGTATCTCATTCTGTGCCCTGCAGAGCTGCAAGGTCAGGGTTCCATGGCCATGCATGGAGGAAGAGAAGGGAGAAGCTCTTTGCAGTATCACAGTGCTCACATGTTGGCTGATGGGATAAAGAAAACTGCATTTGTCATGGGGCACTGGGAGAGATGATGGATTGCCAGGCAGCAAACATCCCTCCCTCCTCAGCAGGGTATTGTATCCCTCATATCATACAGGTATATCCTGATAGATCCATAAAGCATTACCCTTTCCCTCACCCCAAAAAGCAGCAGCTGATAAATCACCACTCTGTGGGCTCACCGGGAGCCAACCACACAGAAGCAGTGCAGCCTTCAGAAAGATGCATCACTTGAAGGCAACACGGATGCCAGTAGAGCTGTACATCACCACGCCCGGACTGATCACTTTGCCTGTCCAAAAATGAGATTCTTCAGAGCTGGAACTCTGTTGTGGTGTGTACTAGTTCCATTCACAGGCACTCAGAAGTGTCACTGCTCTGAGACCTGGAGGTGTCCCCTATATACAAAGAGTTTGAAATTTTCTCCCACTGTTGGACAGAAACATTGTGAAATCACAGAGTATTTCATGGGACAAAATCCTGTCCAGAGCCAGACCTTCTCCAAAACACCTCTTTGTGTGGATAAGACACAGGCTGTGCAGGGGGCCAAGTATCTTCACTTATCAACTTCCAACAATTGGTCAACTGGAAATTGGGCCATTGGGAATGGCATGGAAGGGCTCAGCCCAGAATGTTCCCCTGTGGAAATAAAGCACTGCTGATAATTCCCAGCCCAAAGCTGTCAGGCTGTGCTTCCTTAGCATGGATTCATTGGCTGAGGCAATAGGCAGAGCAGCAAGCAGTCCTGTTATACCACTGCATGACACCACACAACAAGTCCCATTGCACAACGTGGAGGGCATACATGCTTCCAGGTGGGATTTACAGCAGAAGCAACAGAAGTGATATTGGATCTATAAATTGCTCCCACTCCAAAGGAGGCCAACGATGTATGCAGGTGCCTTTCCAGGAATGCTTTTTTTCTTTTTTTTTTTTTTTTTCCCTATGCTGAGGCACCGCAGTAAAACCTGATTTATGTTTTATTAAATTATTTTAATGCTCTATATTACATGCAAAAAGTCTGTGAAGAGATATATTAGAGGCGCAGCTCTGCCAGGCTCATGCAGAGGCTGTCCCCAGCTGCGTGGTAATGAGGCTCTGCCAAAGCTTCTGCTGAGCTTCTCCCAACCCCCAACACCCCCAGCCCTTCCCAGAAGGCTCAGGCTCACACCTGGGCCATGGGTGTCTCTAAGAGAAGTTCTCAAGTGCCAAAATCTCCCCTTGTGCGCGTGTTTCAATGGGAAATAAAGAGATCATTATCGATCCTCTGTTGCGCAGCTCTGGCATAGGGCACATCAAACTTTCCTGTAAACTCAGGGATTAAAGCAATGAGTCAGAACGCCACTTTAATGAAGAAGGAGTGAAGCTGTTGACAAACAGCTCTAGGGGGCTTGGAGAAACCAAAAAGTGAGCCCTGGGTGGTTGGTGCTGGTGCTTTGGAGATGTTAAACCAGCCTCACTGGGACCTGGAGTGGCCCAGCGTGCATCTCTGGAGGAAACCCAGCATACATGGCACTTCAGGGCTTCATTTTAACCTCAGACTAAGTGCAAGCATTTAGAAATAAATGTATTATTCAATGAGCTGTTTCAGGGGAAAGTGAATAATTTAAGTAATACAAAGTCAAAGCCAAGCGGATTTCCCTCCCTGTGCCCCCCTTCTCTCATAGCACTTTCTCCAAAGGCAGCAGTGCACATCCTGCTGAGTTCGGTGGATCTCCTTCCTCCCCGTGCTCCCACACACCTCCATCAGCAAAATGAGGGTCATGGTTTGTCTCTGCTTTGTAGGGAGATCCATCTGTCGAGTACACTGAAGAGCAATGGCAATTGCAGTGCTGGGGTCACCCTCACACCCACACAGCTGACAGCCCAAATGGAACATGCAAGAGATGTCCTTGCATGTTGCAGGGGATTCATGGCCATTTAACACTGCAGAGATGCCGCATCACTTGCTGACTTCCCACATTTCTGGAGATGATCTGGTTCATCCCTCACAAAAAGGCTTTGGCAATGGGATACAGCCAATTCCCAGTCCCTCTGCTTAGGCTGAAATACCCCAAATCCCCAACATCCCAAGAAGATGATGCAGCTTTCATCCCCAAATGGATTTCTACACTTATTAGACACTCCTGATAGAAATGCACGAGTAACACACATTCAATTAGTTCATTTAATAGTCTTGTGTGATGAGATTGGCCTAACTGCCTGAGCACAGGATTTTGCACAAATGAAAGAGCAATCCCATAAAACCCAAATTTAGCGATTTGGAAAGAAAATCAGCAATCTTTTGAGAAAACCAATCGCTTTTCACTGTGTAACATAAGCTCACAGTGTGAGAGGGAAAAAAAATAAAATAATAATATAACCACCTCAAATTATTCTTTATTACTTGATGTTGTTCATTCTCAGACTCTCCAGCAAGCCTCCCCCTCCAGCTGCCCTACTTGCACAGGTTATAATGTCTGGAGGGGGAATGAATTAACCCAGACCGCTCACTAGCACACATAAACCTACTATCAAAAAACCTGCTTGGGAATGCTGGCTTTGCAGGCAGCTGTATGCACTGCTGCAGATGGAATCCCTGACGTTCACTTCTAGATTTGAATGGGAATAACCTGACATTTAATTCCGGGACAATAGCAAAATGTCAACATCTGTTGTGGCTGTGCAGGACCAGTTGTCAAAGGGGGGCACATCAGCAATACCAGCCTGTCTGGCAGCCATAAAGACACAAATTGTCCTATTTTTCCCTTCTCCGTGGCCATGCATCTGCAGATTTAGATGACCATCTCCTTGGGAAATCTACACCTTACTGGGGGGGTTTGTGTGTTCACAGCTTCAGCTCCAGAAAAGCACTGATCACAGCAGTCATTGGGTGTAACGTGCTAAAGCCACAGCCCACATCCTGG